AATCAGAATCTGTGGTGATTATAAAGCAACTGTAAACCCTCAACTGGAAGAGGTAGTCTACCCCCTTCCCACAATTGATTGTATTTTTGCAAAACTTCATAAAGGTAAGCAATTTACCAAAATAGATTTGTCACAGGCCTATAACCAATTCGAGCTAGACGAGGAAACCAGTAAACTGTTGGTGGTAAGCACAAAGAAGGGGTTGATTGCACCAAAAGAATGCCTTTCGGAATTTCTCCGGCAAGCGCCAAGTGTCAAAAATACGTAGAACAACTGTTCCAAGGGGTGGACAACGTAATTAATTTTTCAGATGACATAATTTTGACAGGAGAAACGAAGGAGGAACATCTGCGGACTTTGGATGCAGTACTGGGCAGTCTGGAAAAAGCGGGTCTTACAGCTCGGTTGCTGAAGATATAACGTTAGTGCATTTTAATCCTAATTACCCTTTGATTTTACAGACAGATGCATCAAATGCTGGTATCGCAGCAGTGCTAGTACATAAAATGCCTGATGGAACGGAACGACCAATTGCATGTGTGTCAAGAACCTTGATGCCAGCTGAGAAGAATTATTCAACAATCTTAAAGGAGAGTTTGGCAATTTTTTATGGTGTTCAGAAATTCGAGCAGTATCTTCTGGGCAACAAGTTCATCTTAAGGACAGACCACAAGCCCTTAACCACCATTTTCGGAGAACACAAACACATTCCAACCACCTATGCAAGTCGTCTCCAAAGAATAGCACTGTACCTGTCTGGACTCAATTATAAGGTAGAGCATATTAAGGGCAAGGACAATCATTTGGCCGATTACTTGTCCAGAGCACCTTTAAAAATAAAAACAATAGACCAAGAGTACGAAGGGAAAGGTAACTATATCAATTTTATCAGTAATAATTCAGAATGGCCAATTGACAATGAGTTAATAAGAGTCGAAACTGAAAAAGATAGTATTTTGAAACAAGTTAAAAATTTCATAAAATTAGACAAATGGCCAAATCAAATTAATGATGTATTAAAACCATATTATGCTAAAAAACTTGAACTTTCCCTAGATGATAACATTATATTGTGGGGTCACCGAGTGGTGATACCAAAAAGGCTTCAAAGACGATTATTGGACGAACTGCACGAACCAGCACACTTGGGCATCACAAAAACAAAGTCATTGGCCCAAGGATATTTGTGGTTTCCAGGAATAGACAGTAAATTGGAGGAAATGGTCAAGTCATGTGCACCACCCAAGCAGCACTCCCATGTTGGGCCAATATTGGGACAATAACTACGATTTATTGGCCCAAGTCAGATTCTCTAGGTTGGCCCAATAAAAGATGTGGACATTCTGTAATATTTGTCCAAGAACGTATGTCAATATATACCCAAAAACAAATACCAACGTTGGTACAAAAACGTAACCAAATGTTGGCCCAAAAAGAAATAATCAATATCATATCAAGAACTTTATGCAATATAGAGCCAATTGAAATTACTAATATTGGCCCGAAGACGTATGTAAATCTTGGTCTTATATTATATTTAATTAAGGTAACGGACCAATTATAAGGATTGACTAAGAAGTGTTTTCTCTCTGCCGGACCATCCGTAGACCCGTTTCGCTGTATCACAACTCATCAGCACGGTTAAGTCCCGCCAGGGTCCCGCAGAGAGAAAACGACCAATTTTTGGCTTCATCCCGGAACCAGGTTTAAGACAGGTAAAGTGAAGACAGAGTCTCCATCTATTTTTTGGTCGGCACACCAAGTGCGCACATTGAATACCCTATATTGGACCAACATTTTCAATTCAGAAAATCTAACCTGTGTAAAAATTGGTATGTAAATATTGGCCCTTCATTGGGCTTTCAAAAAAGTATCAATATTGTGAAAAAATTGAAAATAAATATTGGGTGTGCAAAGTTTTTGAAGTGAATTTAAATATCAATAAAAAATTGAATGCCAATATTGAATTAATATTATATTACAATATTGTTTCGATAATATAAAATGTAATATTAGGCCAATATTTCATAAATCAATATTGTAGTGAGAAGTCTTGGGCCAATATTCAAATTACTGAAGAGTTAATTAACAATATTGGTACAAGATTATTTTTAAATATTGTTTCCACATTGTTAAAACTAACGTTGCCCCAATATTGGTACTGTGTTGATTTAGCAACAAAAATTAATGAATATTGGCCCAACTGAAAAACGATGTTTACCCCATATTATGTGCTACTTGGGCATGCCTCAAACACAGAGTAAACCCTTCTAAATCAGAATTTACGCCCTGGCAAACGGAAACGGAACCCTGGTATCGTATACATGCAGATTATTTAGAGTTAAATCGTAAATATTTCTTGTTGATCATCGACTCGTACAGTAAATATCCAGAAATTTTTCCATGTAAATCACTAAAATCAGTAGAAACTGAAGAAAAGTTTAGAGAATGTTTTGCTAGATTTGGGTTACCCAAAATTGTAGTTACAGATAATGGAACCAATTTTGTGGCAGAAAATATGAATAAATTTTTCAGAATGAACGGCATAAAGCACATTACAACACCCGTTCATCATCCTCAGAGCAATGGACAAGCTGAAAACATGGTCAAGACGTTCAAACACAAATTGAAAACAGCCATTTCTGACCCTAAAAATCGAAATGAGGCAATAACTAACATAGTCTCCAGAATATTATTTAGTTACAGGCTAGCGGAACATTCATCAACAAAAAAATCCCCAGCAGAAGTGATGTTTGGAAGAAAAATCAGATCAAGATTTGATCTATTGAAAAATCCAACAGAAAGCCCACCAACTGAAGTATCAGACAACATTCAAAAAGCCCAAAGAATCCAAGCAAACCACTATGGATCCGGAAGAACAAGAAATTTTGCAAAGGGGGAGACAATAATGGTTTAATGGTTAAGGACTATCGAACCTTGAACAAACCAACTTGGACTAGAGGCAAAATAGACAAAATTATAGGAAAAACAACTTATATTGTAAAAGTAGATGGAAAAACTTGGAAAAGGCACGCAAATCAGCTTCAAAAGATGGAAACTGAGCAAACAGAACACAACAATGGCGAAGAAGCAACCAGAGCTAACTGCAACACAGAAAATACATCAAAAGTACCTTACAGCCCCTACAAAACTCCTAACACCAGCGCATCCACTAATGAAAGTACTTCCGCAACCGAAATCCAAGAAAGCGCCTCTATTACCCAAGACAAACCCTGTATTCTCGACGAAACTGCGAATAGCGACAATTCCAGTGAAAGTGAATTTCACGAGTGTAGCTTAAGTGACGAACTGCAACAAGACAGTGATAACAAAATAAACATTCCGTCAAAACTTAATACTAAAGTCAATCCTTTTAGCAGGACCAATCAGCAAATGATCACAGCCACTCACAGCAACAGCAAGTCTACTACCGAGTGCATATCTGGAGCAAAGTCCAACCTAGAGGACACAGCCACGAAGTGCCAGGCCAAGGAGCTAGAAAAACAGCCAGCAGCAGCGCAAGGCACACGTCCAAATCGGTTACGAAAACCACCCTCCTATTTGGAAGAGTACACCACGGAGATTTAGAAAACTGAAGAACCAAAACAGTTAGCTTTCTTAATTGCCACAAATATTGTTAATGATAGGTAATAGGAAGTTGATTGTGTAAAACAGTGAGCCTTACATAAGGTTAAAATTGTATTTTGTATAGTAATCATCAAGCACAGGCTAGGTGAATTCTTGCATTTTTTAATTGTATATTCAGAGATCTAAATTTAATGGTACAACTAAAAACCTAACAATGGGGGTGCGAGGACGTGGCAACCTTGCACTACGAGCACAGCGCTCAAAGCCTCTTTCCCCGTCAGGGAAACGAGATTCTCTCTCTTCTCCACTGGTCTTGACACGAACCACATCTCCGGCATTATTTCAGTTATTTCACTCTACACCTCAAATTTAATTTTAAAATCTGTGATAATAAATCTTAAGCTGAAGTCGATGTTTTATTCCACCTTCAGTATACGATATGTTCTATGGCATCTTTTGTTGGAAAAAGTAGGTAGGAAAGTAGGTACTTACATTAGGGACACTACCTACTAATTTAAATACCTACATACGTTTAACACCCATATGAAAACAATAATTTTGTGCAAGTCACAAATCAGAAAATTTAAGCGCCTTGAATTAACTACATATATGTATACAGGGTGTCCCAGAATATGTGGGCAATCTCTCGGATTTAGATAGAACTCGAAAAAATAACATGACAACTTCATATAAAAAAAAAATCCTACGGCCCCCCCTACGAAGTTACGTGCCCCTAAAGGACGCCTCTGGAAATAGGTTTTTTGTTGATAACTTTCAAAATACATCGTGTAATTTTTTTTTCTTTTAATATGGTGGATACTAGGTTAGACTCCCTAAAATGGACCCTCTCAAACAAACTTGACCAATCTGGTTTGCCAGGGACGGACTAGCTTTAACGCAATAATAAAACTGAGGAAATATTAGTAGAAAGGATTAATTTTCACTTTCGCGAAATAAGGCCTAATATTGAAGCATTGTCGAAAGTCGAACAATATTTTATTAAAATAGGTATGGAATGCATAAGATTAGAAGGATCTCATGTTGAGTCGACATAAAAAAATTATTTAATAAAAAACCATCAATACACAAAAACAGAGTTTTCTCGAAACCAGCTCATTTTTTTGACATCGAATAAGAGTACCTTTTTTCTAGTTCAAGGTTGAAACAATCTAAATAGTACATTAAAATACAAGTTTCATAAGACGTGATTTTATCGCACGAGCCCTATATTAGAAAACGAGCCGGAGGCGAGTTTTCTAAAGGGCGAGTGCGATAAAATGTCTTATGAAACGAATATTTTATACTATTTTTTCTATTTTGGTATTGTTTAAATAAAAAAAAACAAATTTTCCTTGGAAATTTTATTCTCATATTTCCTGATTTCATGTTTAGGTTGGTAACACTACACGCCAAATATAGAAATCTTCTTTTTTATTTTTATTTTTACCAATAATAAAATCGCAAATGACAGTTCGATGGCCATCAGTCAGCCAGTGTTACCAACTTCCGATAAGTAAAAAAGGAGTGTCACAAAGAGCTTCTTTTCGAAACTACTTTCAGTGTCGAAAAGACTTCGATATGAAACCAAAATAGAAAAAATATTATTGCTATGCCTATATCATACAGGGTGTAAAAAAAATTAGCATTATTGTGTTAAAGCTAGTCCGTCCCTGGCAAACTAGATTGGCCAAGTGTGTTTGAAAGGGTCCATTTTAAGGGGTCTTATCTAATATCCATCATATTAAAAGAAAAAAAAATAACACGAAGTATTTTGATAGTTATCAACAAAAAAACGATTTTCAGAGGCGTCCTTTAGGGGCACGTAACTTCGTAGGGGGAGCAGTAGGAATTTTTTTTTATAGGAAGTTGTCATGTTATTTTTTTGTGTTCTATCTGAATCCGAGAGATTGCCCACATATTCTGGGACACCCTGTATATTGGCAATCTCTCGCAGTCGCTGAAAATATAAATTCTTATCAAAATATCACTTATAACCGATGCAGATTGTGACTCAGTAATAAAGCTGAATTTGAAATCCCAGTTTAGTTCAACATAACACGTGCAAAATAAAACGCTCACAAACAAGTTCATCCGAGGTCACCCAAAGATTTGGACCCAAAGATGACCATCTCTGGTTAAGGTTTCCTATAACCGGTAAGTTCGATATTTCTGTAAATGAATGAGACGTTTTTTTTTTCTAAATAGGTAGGACTTAGGATACAACTTAAAACAGTGAAAACATTATTTCACTTCACACTGGTAAACAAATAAATGTATTATGAATGGAATGCATGATGCATACATAACCTTGACTGGTTTATCACGATATCGACTAAAATTGCAATAGAAAAGTTTAAATTGAATCAGGAATCATTACATATTTAAGGTAAGTTTGTATAATTAATTAAAATGCTGTATTTTTCACATAATAGTTTTATAAAAATAAGCATTTCCGATTACCTGTGATTTATTAAAGAATAGATAATTCATTTCTTTATAGGTAGGTAGACAATAATTCCTAAAAATAATATAAAAGTTACTTGCTGAGTAATATACGAATAACAAAAACTATTCAATAAATAAGTTCCTAACACACAAAAATCATTTTTAGGGTTGCTATATTCTACCCATAAAAAATTTATACTATAGTCTCCAACCAACTTTTTATCTTATGAAAATCCTATGAAATGATGTCCCAACAAGTTCGGAAAATAAAAGTGGAATTCAAAAATATCTACGAAATAGACGAATTTCTATTATCCAATACACGACGGATATTTTCCATACAAACTTGCGATTCCAAGCTAGAAGTGAACAGGATTTTAAATATACTTGAGCAATTGCAATTGGAACCGACTTTTGAAAATTCTGGTAAGTGTAAGTACTTATCTATTGTATAGCAAATGCGCCCAAGTACTTTTTTAATTAGTTAGATGGTGAATGGCGAGCGGTTTTATTTATCGATGGTGTTTATTTCCTTGGGCAGCTTAATAAAATTGTGGAGGGGGTCTATGAGAGAAACAACTGGAGTGCGTTTGGAAATAGCACTCTGGGTGTGAGAGTGACCCTAGAGTAACTCTAAACCATAAATTATTTTAAACTTCTTTCGGTCTTTCGGCTATTTTGTTACCGCACGGTTGTAGATAAAATACTGTATATAATACGTATGGTAATAAGGTTATTACCGCCCTTGCCCCTTAGAGATTATTGGTCAGTATATAGTTCTCTCTCGCTCTGCTATATCTCCTTTTTTGTGAAGCAGGATTACAATGGAATTATGCCAATATTAGGAAGCTCTTCTGATTCTGGTTGACAATGCCCCCGCTCGATGTCAGGATTACGGGTTCAGGATTTTCTTCGTCATATTGACTTTTGTAAACGAGTTTAGAGAATTCCTCCACTATATTTAATATTTCCTTTCTATTGGTCGTAAGTTCTCCATCTTTGTTTTTGCATATTTGCGATTGCATATTTCTTTCCTTCCATTTGTAAGTTTCCTTTGGAGTACCTTCATGCTTTTGTTATTCTCTATATGGTTCGTTCAATTTCTCTCACTTTGTATCTCCTTGTATCTCTTCTTATTGCTTTGAAGATTTGTCTGTTCATTTCCCTTAGTTCTTCATGTGGTTGCTTCTTCACTTCTTTTGTTTCTTCTTTCTCGCATTAGTTCTTTAGTTTCTTCGCTTATCCTTTCGTCCTTTTTGGTTGTTGGGGAATGTTTATCTTGACCTGTTGTCAGGGCCTTCACTATAGTATCGTTTAGGGTAGGTATTTATCTTTTCCTCTTCATTCATGTTTATGTCCATTTCAGATTCTTTTAATAGGTCGCAAATGCATTGTTGGAATTTATAAGTATCAATCGGCGGATGCCAAGGTTTTTTATTTGACGCATTGACCATTCTGTGTCGCTCCTTTTTTAAATTGAGATGGACTTTTGCTCTTACCATACAATGGTTACTCATCAATATAGTCAATTAAATCGCGAATTTAATTTGGGCCCGAGGCAGAAATAAATAATATAACTTTTGGAGGAGACTCAAATCATTGCCAATTTCTACTGTTCTCTACTATCTCACTATGAATCAACTGCTAATTCTACTTCTAAATGTAAGTGTAATATTTAATTTTTAATTGCCTCTTGCTCTCATTGTAATCTGTTTAAATAGTATTCAACCCCACCATAAATCTCCGCTTGGGTTTTTGTTCATCGCCTCTATTTCTAGGAATCCTTACCTCCGCAATGACCCCTGCACCTTGTTGCGCAAAAATTAACCCTTAAACTGTTTGAATAATAAATTTGAATAAATAAATCCTAATAGGCCTAGGTTCAGTAAGACCCCCTTAAAAAATGCGGCCAGCGCAACAAAGTGCTCGCGGCTACTCAGTGGTGCGGGAGTAGGTTCAATATTGAAAGTTAGCTTTATAGGGCGCCACTGGTTTACAAAATAAAATCCGCGGACTTGAACCAGAAAGTCCCTGATCTCCAAAATTTCTATAAAAATGTACCTACCCGATGTACCTATGAGTATAAAACTATTTATAAAGTTCTGCGGGGGTATGTTTAGATTTGAAATTGCATTGCAAAGACCAATAGAAGGCAATATAATATATAAAATGACACGCAGTAATTATTTTTAAATGTAACTGGTAAAATTACCAAAAGGTAGCAAAGACCAATTAGTAATGGTCTCATAAGATAGGTACTCTAATAAATTCAAGAATTATCAATAAATGTTTGACCACCTTACCCCAATGAGAGTAAATGAGAACAATTAAGGAATAAAAAAATAATAAAATAATCAAAACCTGTGCACGCTTATACCATGGTATACCGGAACGGGTTTGTACAAAAATGTCACCTTAAATATAGTCAATTAAAACTCATTGGTGTTGTACACCCATTGTAATAATTAAGGCAGTAAAACAAGCTTGAAAATATACCAAATTAAATATAAGAAATATCAATAATAATAATTAAAAATAATAATTGAGAAACATTAATAAATTTACGGGTACATCACCCCTTTGTGGTCCTCCCTGCAGTCTAAACATCAATTTCCATTGCTGTCTCATGACAGCCTCACAGCCCTGATAATAGACCCATTAACTTCCTTGACCTCCCTTCTCAAATAGGGTAACTTCCGGTTCCAAGTTCAGTGTTGTGTGTAACCAACTTTGAGACCAGTAAACCGTCAAAAAGGTAAACCCAATGGTAAAGGTAAAATCTAAACTCCTAGAAAACCCTGGTTACAAATTTGGGCTAGTTGAACAAAACGTGCTCTCTGCTCACACGACAAACCAACAAAATGGTGTAGATTTCGTTTCCTGAAAATTCTCTGGCTCACAAATACGGGGACTTACGACCAAATCCAAAGTTTTCACCCCAAAACCAATTTAAGCTAGCAACCACTTGAGTTCCCAACGCCTCCAAAATCCCACAAAAGGTGGATGTTCCAAGGAACGCAGCAACAGGACCGTTGGTAAAATCTGCCACTTGTTGTTTGCTCAACGTGCGAATTTAAAAAAAACGACCTTAGTTTCAGCAATCTATTAGGTGAGCTCCTATGAAAAATTCCCCAGAATTGACCAGGAAAACGAGACAATCAGCTTGAAACGGAACAACCCAAATCACATTGATGACAAACGAAACCCAAAGTTGTTATCCAATTTTCTCCCCCAACACCAATAAACACTAATTAATACTTATAAATCAGCATCTACCCAGTCTTTAGTGCAAAAACTATCAAAATGACCAGTCGTTCAGTGGTCACAACTACAGTGACTCTATTACCCACAGTGGTCAAGAGACCTTGGCAACAACGCTGCCTGAAACGAAACAACAAGTGTCACTTAACCACACTTATTCGGCGAAAGTAAATAACCGGGAAAATCTAAATAAAATCCGAATTAAGGGTGTAAAAGCGACTTAAAGGCTGTGAAAGTGATGTGTGATGTTGCAGAATTTTTAATAATGGAAAATACGTGACTCGTAAGTGTTGCCAATTGATATTTATTTGGAAGTAAACAAACCTTCTCATCGATATTTAAGGCCTTTTAGACAACTTTCGTAAGCTAAATAAAATATATTTCGATCCTATTAGTAGGGCTTTATTATCCTAAAACTACCCTGTCATCTGAATACAAAATATTTACTCATTATTACCTCGAAAAATATACCCTTGTTCAACAACCAGATATTGTTTCGAATCCAAACAAAAAGGTAGAAATCAGCAAAATCCAATGAGAAAACTATCAATCACTGAAAAATATTAATCCTCGGGTAATAAGCTTTCTAAATACCCTCACAAATACCTGAATTAATTGCCGAATTCATTCGAAATCTCAGTTACGTATTAAGCAAAATTTGAACGTAACAACCTGCATGTCCTAATTCAGTATTTATCGGAGTAATGTCGCAAGAATTTTGTTTCCGCTATCCAAAAACGTCGACAGCGCGTGTACACAATTAAACAAGGCCTTGTAATTAATGTCGTTTGGTGTTTAGATTTATGAGTTTATGTAAAGTATCAGGAATCTCGTAACTTTCGGTTGCGTAATTATTTCATTCGAAAGATAACTGATGACTATAGAGGGGGGGTCCGTTATAATAATTGTTATATCAGATTTTGACCTTTATCGTTGGCTTAAGCAGCGAAACAGATTTTACTTTAACTACTTTATTTATTATTTTAATTTGAACTTAGAGAATTCCAATTGAGACTATTGAGAGTACTTTATTTACTTTATTACTTTCCAATAATCATAACTTTGATTATTGGGATTTAATTTAAGATAAAGTTATTTGATTGAATTAAAATTTTTCTGTTATCACTCGTGGACTTTGAAATTTGTAAATTAATTTTACTTATTTCAATCTTCCAATTTGGAATAAAGATTATCGACAATATTTTGAATACTTTTTCCTGTTAAAACATCTGTGAAACTGCTTTCATTATTTCTAGTCTGTTATTGAAGTATATAATAATTGCAAAAACTGTTTTTCAATAAAAAACATAAATCCATTATTTGTTTTAGCTTATTCGGGAGCCGAAAATGTTTCAGTCCTAAACTGGACCCAACTAAAAACTCAATTAACCGAAGAATCTGACACAAAACTCGCAAATTTAACCATAATAGACGTCCTAAATTACAAAAAAGTGGATCCAGAACACAAAAAAACTTTAAGAAAATTGTTTGAAAACATTTCTAATACAGAAATAAAAAAAGTAATTTTGGTAAGCGCCTCAGAAAGTATTTGCACCGAGAATAAATATCAAAACGATGCCAATTTTTTTACAGAAAAAAAAGTTTCCGAAATTTCTTTTAGAGATCTTAGTGATAAAACTCAAAAACAATGTTTGCAAATTTATTCTATTTTCTTCCAAAAAGAAACAATAACACTTGAAGAGTTTTTGAGAAAAAATGACCTTTTAAATGAAGAATCATTAAATAACATAATTACTTCTACTGTTCTTAATAATATAATGATGTATAATAAAAAAACCATTCCAATAGGAATTTGTAATGATCAAAAAAATTATTTCAAAGATTTTTATATACAACGTACATTTTGCAATCAATATTTTGTTTCTAAAAAAATATGGAAATTATTAGTTAGCAAAATTGAGGTAAATGATACGTGGATTTTTAGCGGTGTAAACGATCAAAGGGAATTAATAGAAATTTTGAAAATTCCCAGTAAAAAAGCTTCTAAATTATGCGAAAATATTCACATGTTCAAACATTTTAAAGAAGCTAAAGTTTATTTTGACAAATTGCCTTCTTGCCGACCAATTCATTTAATAAAATATGAAAACGACCAATTTTTATGGATCAATTCAAAAGGCTTTGTAGACAAATTAAGAAAATATATTTTTAAAAATCATTCCTCAATACTACAATTGTCTGATTTATTAAATTACAAAACTGTAATATTAAACGGACCTTTGGGTATAGGAAAATCCACTACTTTAAGCATGCTGAGTACATATCCTTTTTGGTTTTTAAATATTAGATTTTCAAACTGTAATGAAATGATTGCAAGTATTCCAAAAATAATCAATCGACAAACATTAATTGAATTTTTAACAAATTATATTGGACCTAATTTTTTAGCTCATGGCTTGTTAAACTTTTTTTTGTATTATAATTCTAAGATTCGAATTTATTTATTATTCGACGATTTGGCAGGCAATATAGATTTAGATACTTATAAATCCTTTTTACAACTGTTAGTGTTTATAAAAGAAAAATCCAATGCATTTATTTGGATTAGTTCAAAACCTGAAAACTGTATTGATTTGGAAAATAATTTATCAACATTTTCTACATCTTTTAATGATATAAATAAAGATGAAATACAACATATTTTTCACAAAAATGAATTGACAGAAAATACACATTTGTATTATAAAAATAATAAAAAGTTATTTAATAATAAGCAAAAACTATTAGGCGTTCCTTTGCTTTGCGATATAATTTCCAAATTAAAAAATCCAACTATTAAATGTCAAAATATTGAGGAATTGTTTTCCAACTTTATAGAATCTAAAATTGAAAAATACATGTCTGAACATTTCTCGAACAGCAATCACAAAACCGAAATTATTAATTATATAAAAGAAATTCATGGTGTTATAGCTTTGAAGCTATTTATTTATCCAGAATTTGAAGACAATAAAAATATGGCATTTCATATAAACATAACTAAAGTTGGGTTCGTTGTATTAAGAATGAATGGCAATTATGAATTTACTGACGAAGCTGTTGCTAATTATTTTATTGCTAATAAGTTTTATGTATGGATTTCAGCACCCAGTAGTCCAATTGAAAAAAATTTACTTTGTAAATTTTTGTTGGAGAGACAGTATGCTTTGATACGTGTATTTTTGAATTATTTTATCAAACTGGGAAAACCTCCAGCAATGCCTCAAAACGTTAAACACCATATCGTTAAATTATTTCAAGAAAATACTCAAAATTTCTTTAATGAAAACCATGCATGTACCTTGCAAATATTGATGAAAGAGAAACTTTTTCTTATTATTGAGTGGTTTTTTCCAAAAGAAATTCTAGAGCTTATACATCCATATTTGAACAAAAACAAAGCATTTTATAATTATTTTGAAAACCATATAAAATTTCCATGTCAAAGTAAATCACACAGAGCTGTTCTAAATGGCTTGAAAGACAATTTGGAAATTAAAATACCTGTTGATATTGTTGATAGAAATAATGCTACTCCTATCCAATATGCTGCCACTAATGGTAGCTTAGACATCGTGAAATTTTTAAAATCCAAAAATGCCAATGTAAATCACAAAGATAATAAATCAAAAACAGCCCTTATACGTGCCATAGAAAAAAACCATATTGAAATTGTAGAATTTTTAGTTGAAGATAAAGCCACTGATAAAGATTGTCAGGATAAAAATGGCATTAGTGCTTTAGAATATGCTGCAATATCAAAAAATACCGATTTAATTAAATATTTATCAGATACCAATGTGAATCATGTTGATAATTTTGGTATGACGGCTTTGTGTTGGGCTGTAAAAGTTGGCGACCTTGTTATGACCGATTATTTAATTAAAATTGGTTCCAACTTAGACATCAAAGATGAACATGGAAGCAATCTTTTAAATATTGCAATGAAATCGAAACAATGGCATTTAATTAAATATTTAACTTTTTGCCTTGTTAATGTAAATATGGCAGATTTCAATCAAACAACCCCGTTGGAAAGAGCTGTTAAATCCAACCAATGGGACTTTGTTAAATATTTAATATTAGAAGGAGCTTCATTGCCAAATAATTTTAATCCCATAAAAAATGCTGCTGAAGCTGAACAATGGGATTTAATTAAGTTGATGCTGGAGCATCAAGGCAATTTGAAAGACATTTCAATGGAACTTACAGAAAATATTTTGAATTTATTTGTAAATGCTTCATTTGCTGAATTAATTCAATTAGGGAATGTTGATGTTTTGGATTTATTAATTCAACGCGGTAAATTTGATGATCATAATTTAGATCGACTTTTATCTGAACCTTACGAAGAGTTATTGTTTGAAAATAAAACAGCATTACACACAAATATGAAAATATTTGTTGAAGAAATGTTGGTAAAGCTTCGATCTAAAAAAGGTCAAAAATTTAAATTGAGTGAGAAGGATACTGAAACAAGAATTAATTTAGTTTGTGAACAAATATCTCTAATTGAAAATGTGAAGGAAATTAATAAAGAATTTATTACACGTGCTAGATTGATTGCACAAAATATTGAGTTACTCAAAAGAGCAATTAGAAAATCAAATATACCATGGGAACAAATGGAATTTTGTATAATAATATTCATAAACTTTTTTTTAAACCCACAACAGGAAGATTTTGTTTATAGATTAGTTTTAGATCAAGATAAACTAATTTTATATCTTAAATCATTTTCAATGTTCTTACTAAAACGTGAGGCTTTTCCTAAGATGGAAGATTTGGAAACAGATTATAGAATTTTAAAAGATATCTATTCATTAAATCGTATATCTTCTTATATTAAACTAGCTTTATCTGTTAGTGATAATAAAGAAATAATGAATACCTATGTGTTAATGAGATGCTTACAAGTAATAGGAGAAAGTTTTAAAAAAACAACAGATTCACCTAATTTATCACCAGAAATTCATCAATTTCTTATTTTATCAGCACCAACAAACGTAGGACAAATTGTTACATCTTTGAGAGACTCTTTGTCACATTCAGATGCATATAAACAAAAAATAACTATCGAAAATAAATTAAAAACCGATCTAGAGTTTTTTCAAGCTGTAAAAAATGATCTCAAAAAAATCCTATTGCAAATTGACTTTTTGCTTTTTACGAAAAAGAAAGAAACGCTTGAAATGTTTCGTCAAAAATGTTTGAAAAATCCAAATAACCTAAACAATATCAATCAGTATATAAATTGGGAATCTTACGAAATTAAAAGCATCGAAGAATATGAAATTAACGATATCAAAGTAATACAAAAACTATTTGAAAAATTAAAACTTGCAAACAAAAACTCCAACAAACAAGAACTAGAATTGATAAGTAAGCTTTCAAAAGAAATTAGTTTCATTGAAAAAACTATTTTTACACAACTGAAAGATGTAAAAGAAAAGTACTACGACATGCGTTCAGATTTTAGAAGTTTAGATGAAGCTCAGCATTCGCAAAGTTTACCAAAATTAACAATAGACTTGTGCATAAAACGAAAGGAAGGAATTTATTACGAAGCTTTCTCAATTTTAGTAGATCTTATTAAGGTGTATCAAAACAATGTGGCAGAAAATACTGGCAAAAAACTAGACTCGATACAAATTTGTTTTCAATTGTGCTACATTATGAAATGGGATGCTCATAAAATAAAAAATATCCAAGAAATTCATAGTAGTTTATCTGGGAAGTTAGAGGAAAATTCAATTGACAAAATTTTAGATTGTATTAAAAATTATTTGGAAAATGAAGCTGATAGAAATATATTTAAAGAACATATTATAGAAAAAAAATTATTGCATGAATCATTCAAAAAGCTAAAACAAAATCCCATAAACGAATTAATTGATCAATTGAATATTGTTATAAAAGAGAAAATAAATCTTAAAAAAAGTTTACGCAACAATAAACCTCAAATATTTAAGGAAATAATATCAAACATGGATGATTATGGAAAGTTAATAAAAAACTATGCATCTGAAAAGTTTTTTAAAGTTTTAAAAACATTTTTCTCTCCATTAAAAAGCACAAATATTGAAAATGCAATATTATTAGTTATTAAACAAGAAGACAAAGAATTTGAACAAATAGCTTACACTAAACTAACTTTATTAACACAATATATAAAAGAAAATGATAGAAGCTTGAATTTAACATTACAATCAGCCATAGAAATTCTTTTACTGGACGTAATGGAAGCTTGTATTACGAAAAACGCAATAATAGAGTACAATATATCGTTTAATGAATTCTCTCCTATGTTAGTTGGTACTGCTCTTCGTAATTATTTAGCTCATGGTACTCCTTTAATAGACACATTACCTTTTGATCCTTTAAACGCTATCTTAGCCACTGCAAGGCTTCTTGAAGAGAAAAAAGAAAATTTATTTGAAACTGTTACAAGTGAACCTCTAATAGAAAATACTTGTGATAAAATTAATAAAGCACAACAGGATACTAATAATGTTATTGAAAATATAATAACGAATGATGACGTAAAATGTTTTGAGAGTATTATAAAACATCGCAAAATGTCCTTGTGTAATTATTTTTTAAACGCCACTAGCAAAGGGGCTATAAATATCATTAAACACATCTTAAAATTTGATAAAATTATTGTTCCAAGCATTTTAATTTGGCCTTCAATAATAATAGCTTCAAAAAATGGCCATGGAAATATGGTACGACTATTTTTAAACAACCATGATGACTCGATCCATCAAGCAAATTTTGATAGAAATTCTTTCAAAAACTTTGAAAATATTTTATCATCAAATTTCGATATCCAAATTAGCAATAATAACAAAAAATTAATACAACAACTTATCGACAAATCCTTTGAATTAGCAGCCACCAATGGACACCTGACAATAGCTAGCCTATTGCTAAAATACAATCCAGATATCAATTATATTAACAACGAAAATTTATCAATTCTTCATTTGGCAGCTAAAAATGGCCACAGTGAAATTATAAAACTATTAATCAGCAACAATGCTGATATAACGACAAATTCAACTACACCTCTTCATTTAGCTTCATTATACTGCCACAGTGAAGCTGTTAAAGTTTTACTCAAACACGAATCAATAAATATCGACGCCCAGATAGAAAATGAAGATTTCACTCCATTGCATCTTGCAGCTAGATATGGATCTGAAGAAATTGCAAACATTTTATTGGACAACGGTGCGAATATTGACGCTGTAACTATAAATCAGTCAACAGCTCTTCATTTATCTGCCCTATACAATCGAATTGAAGTTGCAAAAATTTTACTACAACGTCACGCAAACGTAAATGTTTTAGATAAATGTAATGCCAGCCCGTTGCTGTTAGCAGCTGCAAGAGGCTATGAAGACTTAGTTAAAGTTTTGCTCGAATATAATGCTAATCCTCTAATGGAATTAGAAGGCTATCGTCCTCTTCACATGTGCGCCTTATATGGCCACTCGGGTATAGCAAATATTTTATTAGAGCACGATCAAACACAAATCGATATTCCTTCATCAGATCGAAATCAATTTACCGCTCTACATTTTGCTGCATTAGCTGGCCACATTGATGTAGTTGATGTTTTACTAAAACATCATTGTAATAAAAATTGTGCAGATAATGATAACTTCACTCCCCTACATATTTCTTCATTACATGGCCATAAAGAGATTGCAAAGCTTTTATTACAACACCAAGTTGATATTAATGTTGTATGTTTTCCAACACAATCAACGGCGCTTCATATGGCCGCATCACATGGACATGAAGAAATCGTAGAAGTTTTATTACAAAATGATGCCAACATTAATGCGCAAGATTCTTCTGGTAAAACTGCACTTCACTTAGCAGCTGGTTATGGTTATAAAGCTGTATTGAATGTGTTATTAGAGTATCACGCTGAAGTTAATTGTGAGACAAATGAAAGGGCAACTCCTTTGCATTTAGCAGCCGAAGATGACCACGAAGAAGTTGTTGGATTGCTAATAAAAGCTGGAGCTAACGTTAATGCGCAAGACAAAAAATTATTCGCCCCTCTTCATTTTGCAGCACAGAATGGCCACGATGGGGTGGCTAACATTTTAATTCAAAACGACGCTAACGTTGATATTAGGATGCTCAATCATACGACTCCCCTTCATACCAGTGCGCAACATGGCCAAATCAATATCGTTAAATTGCTTTTGAAAAATAAGTGTAATATCAATGCAACTACAATAAGTAAATTTACAGCACTTCATTTAGCTGTAGTCAAAGGTCATGAAGTTATTGCTGGATTGCTTATAGATTATAAAGCTGAAATTAATGTCACATTGGCAAATAATACAAGCGTTTTACACTATGCTTGTGAAGCTGGTCGTGTTAATATCGTTAAACTATTGCTGCAGAATCATGCTAATGTTAATGTAGCAAAAGAAGGGCAGAATGTAACACCGCTACATATAGCTGCTCAACAGGGACATGAAAAAGTTGTTCGTCTACTACTGGAACATGAAGCAACAAATATTAATGCAATTACAAGAGAAGAAGCTACAGCTTTACATTTAGCCGTAGAAAATGGTCATTTAGCAGTAGTTCAAGTGTTGCTACAATTTAATGTAGACGTAAATGCTGCTAGTGAAGGTCAGTTTACACCTATACATATAGCTGCACAGTGTGGCCATAAAGATATAGCAGAACTATTAATCGAACATGAGTGTGATGTAGATGCTGTTTTATCAAGCCAACACACTCCGTTGCATTTAGCGACGCAAAATGGTCATCAAAGCTTAGTAGAAGTTCTAATTAAAAATCAAGCTAATGTGAATGCAACTGATGACAAACTTGCAACGCCTCTACACTTAGCTGCCCATCATGGCCACGAAATGATTACTTTGATTTTGCTAACGTATCAAGCAAATGTGAATGCCCAAGCAATTGCTGGCTATACGCCCCTACATGCTGCAGCTTTTCGTGGTCATGAACAAGTAGTAGCAATGCTGTTAGCGCATGGTGCCGATGCTAATGCAACGGAAACTGATTTGGCAACCCCTCTACATTATGCTGTGGAAAATGGCCACGAAAACATTGTCGACTTATTATGTAGCGGAGGTGCTAATGTAGAGGCATTGAAATCGGGCCAATCATCGACTCCGTTGCATTCAGCTACAGAAAAAGGTTTTTTAGGAGTTGTTAAGATATTGATTAAACATAATGCTAATGTAAATGCTCTTAGGAATAGAGATACGCCTCTTTATTCGACGGCGAATATGCTTTTGAGAAATGACGTGCATTATATAATGAAGGAGACGGCTTTGAGTATAGCTATACAAAATAAACGTGAAGATATAAGGGCATGTTTATTGAAAAATGGTGCTATTAATGGATTTGAATACATAAATCATTAGAATACTTTCTGTGATATGTGATATGTTATAATTATAACAAGAACAAATATACAATACAAACTGATTATAGTCACCTTTCGTAGGGATGCTTCTCACTTCTCACAAATATTGAGAATTTATAATTATAATAAATACCTACCAAATGCATTTATTTATCAAAGAATAGGTACCTATATGCTAGAAATGCTACAATATTTGTATTTTCTTTACAGAGAATTTTTTTTTCTAAAATACCCTTATTAATCCAGGGTGTTGGGTGATTTCTAGTTGAAAATGTTTTTTCAGTTGTATATTTATTAAGAATTATACAAAATTAGGTTGAAATAATAAATTATTAATGCTTTGTATGTATGTATGTATAGTTTATATAAGTACGAAGTTATTTACCTAAGTGAAGATAAAAAAAATGTGTTAGTAGTTAATATTTTTATATATCTAGTATGTATTTGTTTTGCATTTTTATATACTTTTTTCTATATTTTATGTTATGTTTGCTCATTATATATAATAATATTGTAAAATATAACTTTACAAACTAATTTTATTACACTAAACCTTTCCTTTTTACTCTAATTTGGTATAGTGTAAGTATAGTACTGACGCGATTTTCATTATTCTTCACCCAGACACAGAGATATCTTAAAGGGACGTCTTTAAGATGTCCAGAAATGATATTCAAGATTGTTGAACGCCTGCTTACGTCTTTTATACATCTGCCTAAAAACGTCTTCAGGACTAATATTTCGTTATTATCACTCATTTATACCTATCAATTTTTGACTATTCCAAACGCAATAGGCTCCTAAATTCTTGATTTCTTTTATACGAAAACGCATACAAATAATTCATTTTGGAAGAAGAACATTAGAAGAGTCAGGAATAAAATTTAAAAAACATAAGGGACTGAAATTCTAAGATACGGGAAGTAATGAGAATTCAAGAACTTGGAATGAAAAAATTCAAGAGCCAAAAGAAAGTTAAGAATTTAGAATAAAGAAATAACGAAAAATCAAAACTTGGCTTGAAAAGTTCTCGAGCATTTTAGAAGGTTGCCAATAATTTCCAAATTCTTTTGACAGATTTTTAAGTATTTTAGAGCCCTGTTGAAGCTCCATCAAGGTGTTCTAAATTGGTTCAAAAGAGTTCTAAAAGGTTTCCAGTTCTAAATTGATTTCTAATTGTTCTAAAATAACTCTGAGGTTTCTAAATTGTTCCAGGAATGCTCCTGAAAATTCTGATTTGGATGCTCATTAGTCATTAAAGGTTTATAGTTCTAGAGCAATTTAAATTCGGCTCTTGAAAGCCTTCCGATAGGCCTTTTGTAACTTTCAACCTGATTCCTAAGATTCTGGCGCTTTTCAAAATGTTTCTGGAGATTCTAGAGTGTTTGAGTGCTTTTTTGAACGTCCTAAAATGGGTTTAAAACTTCTCAATTGTTCTAAAATACTTTTGGAAATCGGTTTTAGAATGTCTGAGAATTCCAAAATGGTTCTGAAATTTCCAAATTGTTATGAAGCGCAACAGAATGCTTTTGGAAATTCTGACTTGAATTTTAAGTGTTTTGAGCTTTCCAAAGGGCTTATTAAAGTTCTAAAGTGTTCTGTAGCGTTTTAAACGGTTTTCAGCAGTAACTTCTAAATTGAATGAAAAACGAATTAAGTATGTGGGAAGTTTTTTTAGACATCTTAAAAACGACCCCAAATTCCACAACCGACATTCCAAACTTTTCTCAGGCGTCTGCTTATACGTGTTCACATGTTTAAAGACCTCATATGATACAAAACCCAACGCCTTTCAAACGTCTGCCTAAAAATACGCCTCTATATGACATTTTTCTAAGACATTTTAAATATGTCTTAAAGACGTCTTTAAATCTGTTTTCAATACATAAACCATTATTCACATCTAGGCCCGGTTGTACCAAATGACCCAATTTAAGCGATTGATCGATCGGCCATCTTGGCAGATAAACTTAATTAAGCGTCATTAGTTAACCAATTGGTCTTAACTGACGTTATATGCATTGCTTCTGTCGGGATGACTGAATGGTCAAAAGCTTTGAGGAAAAGCGCTTATTTAAAATAGTATTTCTTCGAATCTTAAATTTTTAAAACGTCTACGTCTACCATAGAAAAGCGAATGATAAATGTTGCAACCATGTATGCACTGGCAAGTAACGGCGAACGGAGACGCCGCGCCACACGAAAAGGTATACCGAAGGGTAGATAGAAAATGAGAGACTAGAGAAGAAGCTTGTCTACCATTGTTCATTATTCAATTTTTATTTTGCATTTAACTGATTGTTCAATCCAATTTGTGAATAGTTTGTGTGTCATAAGGAGCATTCACAGGTCAGTTGAATCATTGTTATTTTGTTTTTGAGAGTTCAATTTATACAAGTATTATTTTTTTGTTTGTTTATAACATTTTTTATAACATGTGCATTGTTCATGTATTCAACAAAAATCGTTTCATTCTGTGAACAACGCAGGGTTGGATGGGACGACCGGGCAACCGGGCAAATGCCCGGTGGGCCGGTATAACTCTGGGCCGGTCGGGCCGCAGGCCTGACGGGTCTTAGTAATAAAATTTCAAAATTTATATAGGTATTTGACAAAAACATCATGAAAACTATCTAAAACAATATTAAGGCTGTGGTCCGAATATAATCAGGGTTGTGGTTTCGCGGTCCGAATGCGATCAAATTACTCTGGTACCTGGAAAAGTGGTTACTTTTGGACCTTGGTTTCCTGAAATCTGGTTAACCAAATGTCAAAATAGTTACCGACTATCGAATGTCGGTTCTGTTGGTTTTATCTGTAAATTCTTTCAACAATTTTTTATTTCATATTCGTGTTCCCTAGGTAACCGGAATTTTCAGTAACCATCTGTCAACCGGATCGGTTACTTTGGTTAACATTTGGTTATATTCGGACCATAGCCTTAAACTGAATATTATGCGTGAGGTCCGAAACCACGGGTGACGGTTTAATTGAGAATGTAGTGTTGCCAATCTGAATTTGTGAAATTACACGATATGCTGGTCAAATTACATAGTTTTACACGATTTCGTCTCACAATTACACGATTTATACACACGACCTTGGTACCTATTTAGTAACATCAAGAAGCAAGTATTTATGATTTTGGGAAATGGGTCAAATCCAGTCAAATCTGAGGGTTAATCATCGCTCCTCAACCAAAAATAAAGATGTGGCAACGACAGAAAAGCGATCCAAAAGTAATCTAATTACTAATTACTCTAGTTCCTGAAAAAGTGGTTACTTTTGGACCTCAGTTTTCCTGCCAGGATGAGGCACCCCAGATGACGTCATACAGTTATCAGGCAACATCCCTCTCTCAAACATCCTAGCCATAAGAGTAGTCACTTGACAGACCATTTGACAGACAAAAGATAATGGAATGTAATGCAATGAGCAATTAAGGGAAGAGAAAACGTCAAGTCCTATTTGTTTGTCACAATGGGACCGTGACCGATTCTTGACCGTGACCTATCTATATGTAATGTAATAATATCGAGCATGAAAATTCCAAAATATTCTTTCGTTTTCTTTACAGTAAAATTCTTGAAACCCATTTTTTATTCTTGTCGTCCAAGGGAGGGCTGGATGAAAAAAATTGCCAGGGCCGGTTGCATATTCATTTTCTGCCAACGTAATAGGACCTTCGGTTGCATTCGTGTTCGTTCGATCACAGCGTAGGCAAATTATGATTGAAGTGGACTAACGTTGGCAGTTTAATAGAGCCTGCCTGGCGTTTGTGAAAATATTCTCTGAATAAAATCAGTTGTAAATTAGCAGTTATTAGTTGTTGGCACATGTTTCAATGCGAAATGCGATAACGAATGAAGAAATACTGTTATTTTAAGTTTAAAAATTGATGTGTCTATTCAAAGGCCCCAGAACTTTTTTGGTAGATTTGAGTTAGTTTCGGGTAGTTTTCGGGTTATTTTTGGTAAGTTTGAGTTAGTTCGGTTTAGTTTTCGTTTAAAAAACGCACTAGGCGCTGTTCCTCCCTGTTTCCTTTTTTCAAGGAAAGACACGAAAAGTACCTAATCCAAATTAACCGAAACTGACCCATCCTGAAAATGCGACCCAATCTCTGTTTCACGAACCTGATCAAATAGCGAAAAAAGGGCGCGTATAAAAAATGGAGCGCATGTATGTTTAGAGGTTATGTGGTTGTTCAAGTCAATAAAACACACCTCTAATTATTTCAGTCAAAGTCACTTTAATTTAGCAAAATAATAATTGAATTAGTTGAATCCACTCGTGTGGATTGGAGAAAATTGAGAAAAACACAGGAAAAATTTCAGTTCTAGAATGGCGTGCTCAACTTGCTGTTGCTAGTGCCGAACTCCGAACTCTCTTCTTCTCTCTCTTCTGGGCCTTGTCGTCTGTCAAAAACGGATCGCGAAAATCTCGCGAGGTTGCAAGTTCTGCTTGCGACGATGGCGCCCTCCATTGGTGTGCGACGGAGGCGCCACAAATGTATTAATAAATTTTGAGTAAATATTATGAGTCACTGAAGTTGGTTTCTCTGACGTTGTGTGACAGAAACACAGTTCAGCCGAGAGTTCAGCTGAACATTCATTTTATTCTTTTATTTTACAAAAAATAAATATGTGGAACCAAAAGTATCACAATATTAGGCCATTGTTTTAGCTGAAATATTCATGAAAATAAAATTCTTATCTTTTATCTTCCGTTCCTTTGAATAAAAAACATTTATCGGACTTAATTATGGATGATACAGGTGTGGGAGCAGCCATTGCTGCTGGCAATCATGAAGAAAATGGGATTTGAGCAATAAATTATCAGATTATACAATAAAGTAATCTTTTTAATGTAACTAAAATGCTTAATAAAGCTTTAATCTGAATTTCCAGGGACACCTTCCGGTACACCTACTAAAATGCTTGTAACATACAGTCACATGAAGTGCCAACGTCTGGTTGCATTGCTCATATTCTGCTAACGTTTCACGGGGCAGGGCACGAATCTAGCCGAATATCAGTTGCGTTGGCAAAAAATGAATATGCGGGCCGGTTTGTCTAAGCCCATCCAACCCTGGAACAACGCAAATAAAAAAAAGTAAATTAAGTGAAACCTAAGAAATTATGTACTGTCTGTTGTGCTGGGATTTTAATTTTTGGTATTCAGACCGTGCATTAGGGCCTTGTGGAATCTACTAATATTTTCCTACCGTGACGAGCGAATATCCTAGCAAACAAATTGACAAATCAGTCTATGGATATTGGCTCTTGGCTCAAGCCTCAAAATAACAACTATAGAGCTGAGTAGCCTCCCGTACGGAACCTTAGTACCTGCTGGTGAAACTGGCTAACTAACCAAAAACTCTTCAGTATTGAATAGGTACCTAGTGTTGATTGAATTAAATTTTAGCATAGGAACAGGGACGGTATGTACCGAATTTAAACTTTCATTGACTCACAATTAAAAAATTAGAATGACACAGTATGTTTTGATTTTTGAGGAATGTTAGATTGAGGGTTTCTCTGCCGTGCTCTTTCCCCTCGTGAGTTCCAGGTCGAGAACGGTACGATTTTCTCTAATTATAAATTAGACGTTTCACAAATTTTCCGTTCATTTTATATATCACAACTTCCTTTAAATTTCCCTAGTTTTGCTATTGTCGGGCACATGTCAAGTAAGAAAAATTGAGTAAGCTTCCACAAAGTAATGTCTGCCCAGCGACTCTGTGTCTACGGGGAAACGATGAGGGGAATGCAGTTGTAAAAAAAATTGCTGAATTCATTCATAAAATAGGTACCCAGCTGCGTGCGGAACTTTTTGGAAGTGTTATCTTATTGCAACTCGTACTCGAAAATTGACAATGACCAAATCCCCGCCACTGGATATTTCAATATAAATCGATATTCCAAAATGGGAGGATACAATGACGGAAGCCCTGGCCAATAGCGAAACGTAAGGTGACGTTAGCCCACTGACAACCGCATGGTTCCCCGTGGCAACGGCGATTCTGCCAAAAACTCCACCAATCAGGTTCATCCAGGCTGGATGCTTGCCAAATTGACAAAAGCTGATGGTATCTTTGGGAAATATTCATTTTTTATATTAGACGAAATTGAATAATGTGATAAGACAGCAGCTGAAACCCAGCCAGTAGGTAGGAAGAGCCCAGTTAGCGTCTCCCAATACCAATTCCTGTGCCTGTGGCGCCTATACTGAATCTCTCCTATTAATGGGGGTGTAACCTTAAAATATAACTTGTATTCAGAAAATAAAGAAAAAAATTCTAAGAACTCTTGTGAAAATCTCGCATCACTACTCAAAATAATAAGGTAGATACGACTAAATAAAATTATGTCTATTCATCGCGTGACGTCATAAATATACACAAAAATTGCAAAACCTATTTAAACTGATGCAGCAATAGATGTGAGAACGCAAAAACGATACGATAATGTCGATAATAGCTCTTTTCCAACCGACATGAGAAACGTTCTAGAACGGTAATTTCCAATTGAATAAATGTTCAACTTATTGAAAAATAGGTGAACAACTGGAAATTACTGGTTCTGGAACGGTTCTCCTGTCGGTTGGAACTGAGCTAACATATGCAGCAAGAATCAGCATACGCGCGCCAGCGCCGGCTGTCGAACTCAGTTTGTGCATATGACGTCACAGTGCTAGGAGTAGGAATTTTATATCACAGTATCTTCGCAACGGTTGGTCGTAACCTAGTGCGGCTTGAAAATTTGTTCTCAGATTTTTTTTTTCTAAAACTTATTTTTGGGTCACACCCCGTTTAAGATTATCGATAGCAATAATTTAATTTGTTTTTAATTTGAATAATACTTGAAAGAAAAAATACCTAAATTATTTTTTGAAGTATTTCTACGTGATGACTTTGGAATTTGGTACTTGTACTTGAATTTGGGAAATTCAAGTCAATTTACTTGACATTTTAAGTTTAGAACAGCTCTGATCGGTGGTTAGAGTATACGATTTACATTTACTTGATTAGGGGCGCCAAAGTCAGATCTCGCTCCATCCTAAAAGTAACCTCGGGCCGGCACTGCATTATTGTTAGCTATATTTTGTTATTAAAAAATGGATTTTCACATGAACTATACTTCATACCTAGTATTTTTGCTTTCTTATAATTAAACGTGACAACATCGCACATTTAGGTCCGAATTCCTTCCGTAGACTCAGAACCGCTGGGCAGACAATAGGTCCTATTTGTTTTTCATTTCGTTTTTCAGAAGATTTGTTAAAAGAAGAGATAATAAAAATTCACACTACAGCCTAAAATTGGCTATATGTGGATGAAGTTTTCTTTAAAATCTTATCTTATATGGACATCTTTTTTTGGTCTTCAGACGTTCAGAGGCAATGTAGATCTGAAAAACACGTCTTAAGACTTTGTGTGTGTCTGGGTAGTGGTAATAATATTTTTATCAAGAAACATTATAAGTCTTTAATTTAATAGAATGCCTCATTCTCACTAGCGCGAAATTTGCTCTTTTTTGACATTGCTTCGACGATTTGACGGTTGATGATACACGCATAAAACGTCAAATTGTCGAAGCAATAATGTCAAAAAAGAGCGAATTTCGCGCAAGTGAGAATAGGCCGGCTTCTCATGAGCGTAAACTTGACATAACTGGCGCAAATACTGAATGAATACGTGAATTTTGGCGCAACATTCACATGTAGTGGAGAATTTACGCCGCCGCGTATGTCAAAATTATATTTTTTTCCTAAATTTTGAAAAATTTCTTTGAATTTTGATTGTACAAATTTGTATTTGTTATTGCTTTAGTTCCAAATAGTTACAAATATGGAAAGTAAATCACAAAAATCAAGAAAACGAAAAGGTTGCAACCTTAACCTCTAAAAACGCTGAATTTTTACGCGAAAAGTTGAACTTTGCTCAATAACTTTATTACGCTCATGAAAAGCCGCCCTGAGGCATAAGGCCTAGTACTTATAACCGCGAATTGCGGATTTTTATTTTGCGGTTTATTTTTCTATTGGTTGAATATATTTAAACCTGTCAAATTTAAATAAATTCGACCAATAGAAAAAAATTCGCAATTCGCGGTTATGAGTACTAGGCTTTTACTTCATTGCCCGGAAGCATCTAAACATTCCGGTATAGGATTCGGCACCTAGGCATATTTCATTGGTCCGTTTGAATTCGGACCGCCAATTAATGAGGAGTGCCGAAATCCGTACTTGAATGTTGAACGGTGCTGAGCCTCAGGTCGGAATGGTATATATACATATACTATGTGGAGTGCCGAATCAAAGGTCAAAATGTTAAACAGTGCCCAGCTGCAGGTTGGAATGTTACTCCGTTAGCGCGGCACAAAATCAACAAACAAACTTTATTTACTTTTTGTTACAAATTTATTTTATTTCAACGATACATTTCAAAAAATCTTGGACAATAATTTGCAGTGGCGGACCCAGGGGGGGATTATAAATACCTGAAACCTGGCAAATTAGAATAGAAAATTTTGAAAATAAATACCCTAATATATTTATCTTTTTTTCTTTTGGTATCTGTGGTGCTTAGTTTAATTAAAATATCAATTGAAGCCAGGCAACAGCAGTTTTTGGATTTTCCTTTCTTATTATTTCCTTGATCCACTTTTTTATAAGCACTATGATGGCATACAAAAACATATCTAAAAAATGTATTTTCCAAAGTCTATTCGCATCCAAAAAGAATCTACGTCATTGAATTGACATTGAATACAAACCTGCATTTGAATCTGTTATAATTATTTTTCGCTGACTTCACATTCCAATTCGTGTATGTTATATCACTATACTCTTCTATCCATTGCTTTATATCGTTTTTCTCCAAATTGTTGGCTCGGTAAATTTGCTCACCACATTGAAAGTGTTTAAATGATCCAGGCAAACTCATCTTGCATGTTTAAGCACAAGAACACATGAAGCAACGGCAAAATAAACTGCATCCGCCGCAAAATTGTAGCTAAGAGGAACACGAAGGAGGTGGACAGCTGATTAAATATAAAAACCGCGCCAAACGCATGGCAACATTCGGACCTGATACTCAGCACTGTTTAACATTTTGACCTTAGATTCGGCACTCCACATGGCTGTTGCTAATGGACCATTCTGACCTGAGGCTCAGCACCGTTCAACATTCAAGTACGGATTTCAGCACTCCGCATCAATTGGCGGTCCGAATTCAAACGGACCAATGAGATATGCCTAGGTGCCGAATCCTATACCGGAATGTTTAGATGCTGCCCGGAATCTTATCTTGCGTTCGGTATTTTGTTCAAAAAGCAGAGCGTGCTAAGAGGAGCCGTAATCACGTGACCAGCGAGCGAACAGAGCAGTTGAACGCTGTATCAGAGTGCCAGAAATTTGAATAAACTAACGCGAATGAGCCTGCACCGAGTACACTTTTTAAATAAACGAACGGTAAATTCAAGCTCGGAGAACTCAGATCAAAATACCGACTGCTCTGAACACGTTTACCCTGGAGTTAAAACCAAAACCAACCCGGAGGTGATTCGCTTTTGAAAAATCGACCCGGTAGGAAAATAAACGCAGATTAGAAGATCTTCTTTCTTCTTGATATACAGGCTTTAGCTTACACATGATTATGATTCCACAAACTGAGTTGGATACTATACTATAGTAAATAGTGAACAGGAACACTAAAGAACATGCCACACTAGTGAAACTCCTGGATATTTTTAAAAGAATTAAAAGAAATGAAAATTTATTCTTATAATTACTATCGACATACTATCGATAGTAATGATAGTGACAAAAAAAGTAACTATCGATAGTTTGCCCACCTCTAAATCTAACCTCCAAATTTCCATTTCTTATTCTTTATTTGTATTTTGTATTAATTCCTTTATTATTTTATTTCTGGTAAAGAAATCAATAATTTTCAACGGATCCAGAATTTTCCTACTATTCGAAACATTAAATTTAACTAATAAATCAAAATGGATTATGTAGAAGAACAAAAAAGCGAAATCGAAGCTCTCGAGTCCATCTACTATGGGGATTTCCAAATTATTGCCCTAGAGCCCTACAAATTTTCAGTTCCAATTAAAACGGACGATTACGATGATGATACTGACGCAGGCCTTTGCTGTGATTTGGTCATAACTTACACACCTAAATATCCCGAAGAAGCTCCAATAATAGAAATAGAAAACGCCGAAAATTTCGAGGAAAAATATGAAGCTATGTTGCTTGAACATTTGGCTGAACAGGTAAGGTATCTTGCTTTTGTGAATTAAGGTAAGAAGGGATTAAGTTTGGTTCTATTTTATGAAAGAGCTCTTTTCATAAGCATAATTATTAGGTGAAAAGTATGTTGAAAGAGCATTATTTTAGGTAAAAGAGAATTTAGGAATGGTAATGGTATTTACTTTGGTTTCTGCCGCTCAAGAATGGTTACACACCAAATATGAAAATGCAAAGACAGCAAAAGAAGAAAGGGAAGCAAAAGCTTTAAAAGAACTAGAAGAGGCTGAACGTAAAAGGTATGTACAGGGTGAGTCACCATATTTTGACACCCACCTGCAGCCGTAATTACAGGTGATAGGTGAACGTTGTAAATACAAAAGTTGTAGTATTTCATCTGAACCGCCAGAATTTTCAATTAGATTGTACAAATGAGCAACAAAAAGTGGAAAAATATGTCAATGTTCACTTTTTTCAAATGGAATGCCCTTTATTTTCTTTCAAATTCTTAAAGTTCTCGTTTTTCTGATTCAGATTATATAATATGTTAGTGTTTCTTTCGATAGTTTTGGAAATATCTGGAGTTTAGTTATTCAAAGAGAGTAGTTTTTTGAATAAATTTCACCTTGATTTACCTGTAACCTGTCGCAAAACATTGTGATACGTGAATAGATCTTTGAATAACTAAACTCCAGATATTTCTAAAATTATTGAAAGAAACATCAACATATTTAATAATCTGATTCAGAAAAACGAGAACTTTGAGAATTTGAAAGAAAATAAAGTGCATTCCATTTAAAAAAAGTGAACATTGACATATTTTTCCACTTTGTCTTGCTCATTTGTTCCATCTAATTAAAAATTCTGTCGGTTCCGATAAAAAGCTTCAACTTTTGTATTTACACTTCTTACCTATCACCTGTAATTACGGCTGCAGGTTGGTGTCAAAATATAGTGACTCACCCTGTACACTCACACCGAGACTCACACTCTATTGTCATAATTTGCTAATGTTTGTGTTAATAATTTCAGATTTGAAGGTACCAGAGTGACAATAGAAACCTTTCTGAAATGGAGGCAAGAATTTGAAGCAGAATTGGGCATCGATAAGAAAAGAGAACTGGCAGAAAAAGAAGGTAGAAAATTAACAGGCCGGGAATTATTCATGACTGACAACACTCTTAACGAATCTGATCTCAAATTCCTTGATGAAGCAGATAGGGTCAAAGTTGATGAAAGTTTATTCCAAGATTTGGATGACCTTGATCTGGACGACGAGGATGATGAAGATTTTGATCCAGATAACTGCAACAGTGACTCTTCATGATACATGTTAGCCTAAATAATATTCATTATACAATTTTTTTTTTAATTTGATTTAGGTGATTATATACATATTGTTGAATTATTGAAAAACATTGTTTTTTTTTTCTCAACATCCTCTGTCAAAAATTTCAAATTCTTATGTCGTACTTTTACCACAAAAACTGTGAAATGCCTATGCAAAAATATTTGTTAAAAGTTGAAACACAAGCTCATTTTCTTGGTTTTTGCTATACCTATCTGATAGGTATTTGCAAAGAATTTAGCTTTGGGAAAAATTAATCAGGATCTTGTTAAGGTTACTGAGTGGGCACAAAAGAATGCATTACTTGTAAATCCATCAAAAACTAAAGCTATTTTGTTTGGAAGGAATATAAATGCAAGAGATTTGAGCTGCATGCAGGTGTTGGGGCATAATATTAAATGGGAGAGGGAAGTAAAGAGTCTAGGTCTGTTGCTAAATCCTGCTTTATTTTTTACAGAGCATGTTAGTGCAAGTTCTCAGAAAACATTTTGTTTTAAAGTAGCCGTATGAATTCGAACATTTTCTTCCTACTAATACCAAAATCATATGTTAACAGAGTCGCAAGTCTTGGCACAATGCAATTATGCAGATTGTGTTTATGGACCTTTTCTAACAGAACAATAGGCTACAAAAGATTCAGAACAATCGTGTACGATATAGATTTAACATAAATAGACGAAAACATGTAACTTCTTACATTACTAACAGTGAAATGCTTAAGATGAAAAAAAGTTTTTTACATTTTGCTATTTAGATACAAAATATTATTAAGAACAGTTGCTCAGAATATCTCCCTCACCTATTGGTGAGACTTGGTGAAATTCATACCAGGTCAACAAGGAACATACACTCTTGAAATACCATTGCATTGTACTTATTTTTTTTTCTCTTATTTGGGCCCACATAATATTTACAACATGATACCAAAAGGAAATACAAAAAGTAGGATCTGAAATTTTTGCAAAGATTTATTGTTGATTTAAATCATGGATTGAAGAAGCTGTGAGACAAAAAATTTCTCAGTGTCATTTTTCAAAATTTTCAATGTTCGATAAATTCAATTTTGAAGCTTCTCCGGTGCAAAACTGTTGAAACCAAATTAAAATCCTAATTGATAGCTTTCTAGAAAATTTAATTAACTTCAATTAGAGCTTAATTACACTGAAATCGGATGAAAAATTAACGGAGCTGTGAAACAAAAAATGTTTCAGTGGAGGAAAAAATGTTTCAGTGTCATTCTTGGAAAATTTTCAATGTTCGATAATTTCAATTTTGAACTTCTCTGCAAAATTGTTGGAACTAAATTAAAATTTCAGTTGGATGGTTCGTATAGAGTAGACAATTTAATTGGTTTTAATTAGAGCGTAATTGCGTTAAAATCGGATTAAAATTAAAGGAGCCGAGACAAAAAGTGTCTCAATGTCATTTTTGGAAAATTTTCAATGTTCTCGTTGCACCTGAGAAGCTTAAACTATTGAAACAAATATACAATTTTTTCTTGTTGAGTACGCGAAACCCCTACAAAAACACAAAAGCCATCTCAGTAACCCGCAAAAACCCACTAGAAATTTTCAAAAACCTGGGTTTTTGCCAACCCTGGATTGAGTATCATAACAAATAAATTATTAAACGGCGTTTTTAGTTATTTTTTGTTTATTGGCGCTTTTTTAAGTAATAAAATTATCCTAATTCACAATGAGTAATGACAAAATATAAAATTAAATAAAACACAATTTTCTTTTTGATAAAGTGTTTATTAACATAACTAACTACGCAGATATTTATAGTTATATAATACAAATACTGCTACAACCTACTAGCTAAAACAATACAATAATTAATTAATTATCAATTATAAACATTAATCAATCACAAATTACTTCTCAAATCCGATACGGACATCAAATTACATAACTACCAAAATAACTTTATCTACAGAAATTATTAATAACTACACTCTTAAGAAATCTAGCAACACCTAAGATTATCGCCGAAAGGAATCTAATCTATGCATGTATGTATAACGTAAAGACTAATTAATTTAAAGCAACAAGCTGTCACTTATAAACTAATTAATTCTTTATTTGAAGTTTTAATGGTTGTTAAGTTCTTTATAAAATACACTAAGAAATTTCTGGTGCTCCTAACTACATACAACAAAAATATAGTGTATGGGTAGAACTTAATTGATATGTCGCAACAACCATCAAAACAACACTCATACTCAACAAAAAAACATTTTAATTATGACTGATTAGATAAGAAATATATTGGCAAACACATTAAAAAAATGTTGCAACATTGAAGCAACATTTTGGGCACTAATACAAAAATTAAATATTTATTATTTGTTTTCAGATAGGTATTTTCTATCACACTACCTACAGTGTAGTACCTAATTTTGTTAACACTACGATCTATATTGTGGACGTTACATTAGGGTTTTTGTACTTGGCGAAAAGTTTAAAATTAAAAAAACTATATTTGAGAATTTGAATAATGGTACAAATACCCATGACTTTTTGAATTTAAGATATAATTAAATAAGTTTTCGGTTAAAGAATTCAAAATACGGAGCTATTCGATAATAATGATTTATTGACACTAAATTTTATAACAGAATTTGAACCAAATTAGAAGTTCAAAGGACATTTTCTGATCAAGCAATAATGTGTCATGAAATCGATATGTTTGTGTTGAACAGCCCTGCATCATGAAAATTATAGAAGTATTTAAACCAAATATAAAAAAATAAAACTCAATTTACAATAATTTTACTTATCAAAAATAAAATCAAAATACATACCTATAATCTAAAAAAAATCCAGTGTAACAGATCAAAAGATTAAAAAATATCACAAAAATTTTCCAACATTTCAGGCGAATTTGATCCAAGTAGGACACACATAACCGCGACTTTGTGTAATGAAATTTGTCCGTCTCTGAGGGACAGAAATAATTTTCATTTTTGACAGTGATAAAGGGAGCTCGCAAATATTCAGCACAACTCTATTATCAGACTGATGAGAAATATAAAAATTCACATGTGTCCCAACTTTCTCTTCAGACTTTAAATCAAAATTCGCCTTGTGATGGTCAACATACCATAGTGTCAAAAATCAGCTTGTTGGCTAAGCTAAAAGGAAATTATTAAACTTTTTACAAACGTCCTGTGGGCTAATGTATAAATAATTGATGTCTAAAAAAACTGTCATATAAAGTTTTTATTAAAACATCTTGTAGAAAATTTTCTTTAAAAAATTTGATTTACATTTCTCTAAATGTAGGTGATAATTTTGAAGAAAAAAGTAAAATTAAACATGTTGAAACTAACCCAACTGACTCCTTAAATAACACAGGTTACATTTAACACCCATCACTTTACCATTCCTATATTAATCAAACTTGACAATCTTTTTTGATTTATGTACTAAACTCACTCAAACTCTTGTTTACTCTAACCGTACATCTTCCTTATTATTCAATTTCCGTTCCAATGTACTCGATTCAATCCCACTATCTTCATCTGCGCTGTCTAACAAACTAGCCTCTCCTTTGATAAACATTTTATTAACCGACGATATATCGTCAAAATTCGTTTTTAACGGTTCATAAGTGACGCTTTCTTGGACCGTTTTAAGTGTGACGGTTGGTATAGGAACAAGGTTCATTGGTTTATATGGTATAACATCAAAACAAACGTTTTTGTTCTGCGGCAAATCGTCTGTAGGTGTATCGACTTGCTGTACTAAAAACCTGCTTTTGCCAAATGTTGAAAATGTAGGTTTTTCTCTTATAATTATAGGTTCTTGAATAGGTTCCACTGTGAACGTTTTATTTGAGGTAAACGCACTAGGGCTAGGCGGTAGATCTAGCTTTAGCTTACTCCTGGTATGTCGTAGGCCTCCTAAAACATCTGTGGGCCCTAAAAAAATAATTACAATTATTTCTTGTTTTATGAATTGCTTTGTCTTACCTTTACTTATTTCTTTGTTTTTATTAATCGCCCGCGCAGCCAATTTTTTTAGAGGCAGTACCTCCTTAGAGGTAGGATAACCTGTGGCAAATTCTGAAGCGTCACCTATACTGCCAGGGGTAGTATCTTCAAGGCCACTATCGGGTGTAGCGTTCTCTATCCAAGCCCCAGGGAAAAACTGAGAATATATTGAAGTATCTGCGGTTGATCTTTTATGTGATGATCCCATTGAATCTTCTTCGTCTGCGTTATTTGAGGCACCTAAATGTTTTATAATTTATGTTTGGATTATAACCATCAATTTTATGCTGCGGCCTTCGATAAGTAAAAAGCCAATTAGGTCTGCTGATTCTAGAATGGTCCGATTTGCCTTAAGTATATTAGCAGCACCTATTATTATTGTTCTGGATTTTCAAGAGGAGGCCCAAAAAGATGATAATATGGCAGTTGTGGTGATGTATGTTTAAATACTCCTCTCAAAAAATATGATAATATTTGATACTTCATACTTTTATTTTGGAAAATTAATGGTGGCTAAAGAAGTTATCAGTATTTAAAGAAAAGTTGCTTGGCCAATACAAAATTAGAGATACCTGAGACCTGGATTCGCTCCTAAGAAAATTAGGTAAGTTACAAGCGGTTTGGGCTCATCAACATCTAAATACTTTTGATGATAAATTAAATTTCCTAAATACTGGTAACTTCAAAAATATGGTGATATGAAGTTGATGATGATTATGACCAGATTATAGCTTACTTGAACTATAACAACCATCACCTTCGTGAATATCGTTAGGAGGACTGGTGAGATAGTACAAGCTACGTCTACTGTTGTTAATTTTTGGTTTAAAGGTGAACGTGCTCGGATTTAAATCGCTTTCGGCCGTTGGCGGAGGCAGATAAGTTTCTGCGTCAAATTCCCAGTCTGGAATTATTAGTTATAGGAGAGGCTGATGTTTTGTTTAATTGATTTTTTAACATCTAATACACAATGCGTGATTCTAGGGTAGAATAAAAAAATTTTCTAGATGGTTTGATGGTGTGCAACATGTATGCGTGCTAAACATCAATTAAGCACAAAATAATAGAGAATAAGATAGTAGTTCAGCTAGAGATGTCAGATAAATAAGGCAAAAAAAACATATTTTATGTAAAGAATCAGGGAAATAATCAAAATAAATTTTTGCCTGGTTGAAAATAAACGTACAACTACTAACTGATACAGATTTAAGGCCAAAAATGAAATCAGTTGAAACAAAGACAAAATATATTAGGAAGCAGTCAATGAAAAGTTATTATGTCACAAAAATAAGCATTATCACAAAGCCCTTATTATAGTGTAATGGTGAAGCTTTCAAATTATAAGCCGTTTCCAAACTTACCAGAAAATGCAGCATAATCCATTTGAGGCTTCCATAAATCTTGACTATGCAGTACTGGACTTTCAGGCTCTCTAGGATACTCATATACACAATGATATTTTTGTTTTTTGAACCACACACCTCTGGTTTGTTTCTGCTATAAAAAATAGTAATTAGTTTCATTCTATAAACAGGGTGTTTCTAAAGAGTGGGATCAAACTTCTAGGATAAATAGTACTCGTTAAAATAAAAAAAAGTTAATAGAAACATGGGTCCCTGAATGCTAAGTTTTCGAGATACAAGGTGTCCCAGTCAGGGTTGGCATACACAAAAATCATTTCAAAAACCCAGTGGGTTTCAAAAACCCAGTGGGTTTCAAAAACCCATTATCAATTTTTGTGTTGAAAGCCCACTCATACAACCATAGTGCCAAATATCAATCCAAAATCTGAGATTATTCACATTTTTCCTATAGTCAGGTTTCAATTTGTATACTGTTTGAAGATTTGTGATACAATATTGGGCGATACCTTGAAATTTTCAGAATGCCCCACAGCTTCCGAGAATGGATAGGTCCTCTCTCGTAAATGTGTCTGAGGGCAGAAAGAAACAACCCCCTATAGCCACCCCCTCATAAAATATTGTAAATTAGCTTAGTAAAGTATAGACGAACATATCTCAAATTTAAAGAGTAGTTTTTATTTAAAAAAAAAGTTTTTGAAACTTGAAAAGACTTTCACTAATTCCAAGCCCTAGGTTATAAAGGGTTGAAAACATACAAATACGCCATGAGTTCGGCCATTCGAAATAAGGAGTTTAAGTGGTATTATTGTTATAAATAGAAAAGAAGGCAAACACATTTTTAAAAAGCAACCCTCCTGGCTATATAAGTGTTGATGTTCATAGTAAGACTCATGAATATTTTAAATGTTTTTTAAATTATTTATTTTTGAACGTAAAAGGGAGAGGGTAAAGAAGGGCACAGGCCTTGACAGATACATGCCCAGTATAAGACTCATCATCCGATGAATCTTCTGAGTCCAAGTTGGTTTCCTCTAAAACCCCGAGACTTGCACAAAAATCAAGATTCCCTTCACATGAGTACATCTCTGTGCATACCTCATACCACATGTAAAGTGGCACATTTGCAGCGTTGGGAGCAATTATTATTCTTCTGACATGAACATCTTACCAAAAACACTTCGTCAGGGGCGCAGGGAAGGTCACATATTATGGGCTCAAATTCATCGTTAACCAATTTCCACCCATATTCCGCTGCTGGTGGTAAACATGGATGGGGAAGTATGTCTCTATACCATTCTATGCACTGATAATGACATCTGAGTATTGCTAGTTTTAGAGCTGCGAGCGTGGGTGGGATATTATCATTGGGACTTTGTTTTTGGCTAAAAATCCACCATCTCATTTCGTATAACTTACTCATGCGTTTCTGGTGGTGCAAATAAAATATTCTATTTCTTCCAAAACCGATTGATTTAATATTTTATTGGTTCCAAGGGTAGCTAACGTCTGAAGTGTAGATGGGGAAGCTGATAGAAACTTTTTCCTAAAACTAATTTTTGATTTGCCTTTGAATGCAGCTGTAACTTCAGCCTCTGATGATGCGTGAAGTCCTGGAAGAGCTTCTACTTTTAGTTGCTCCAAAGAGTTATAGATTCGTCGTAAACGTATCTCCTGATTACTAGATCCGATGCTTACGAAGTGTGTATCTTCAGGCAACAAAGGAAGACGTCTTGGAGTAAGTAACAAAACGTCAGTATCTGGCAAAAATATCCTTATCTTATTGGCACCTTTTTTGATGCATGTGCATGTACAGAATGAAGAATTAATTTGGCGTCACCTTCTTTGTGCGAGCTCTGCAACTCCTCCATATTATCACAAGCGGTCGTAGTCATTACGGACTTTTCCAAGGAACAGACTACTTTCCGATTAGTTCCGTTTCCCAGTGATATTAGATGTTTTGAAAAATAGTAATTTCTCCTTTTGTCAATGTATGGAAGAGCAGCTTTTTGAGAGTTGTGTCTTTAAGTAAGTATTTTTGCCTTCTGACCCTTTCCATTGATTTCAAAGAATCATGCTTGTAGGAGTCGAAAACCACGTGAATCTCCGAATATGCCTAATATTTTTTCAGTATCTTAGTTGAAAACTAAATTGCTAAATCAGAGAAGTATGCTACATTTTTAAATGATAACATTTGGACTTCTGCCATACTATCGACAACTGCTACACTGTAAGGCTGTTCTAAGATATTTAAATTCACATTACTAACTTTGGAATCATTTTGAACAAGCTCTTCCAGAAGGTGTCTTATTTTACTTTTTCCCTGTCCATGAATCATTGAGGATAAAATAAAGACCGTGGCAAGGCAGTTAGTTCATATTTTCCTATAATCTCCTTCAAGTTTAGATCAGCACGACTTTTACATACAGGGTGGAAAATTAAAAAGGATCCACCTGGATTTTCTCGAAAATTATCAGGAAATTAAAAAAACGCCGAAACACGTCGATTTTTTTGCAAGGGGGACACTTTTTGGCTATTTCAAAATTTTCCTAGATTGCACCCCCTTACCGGGGTGAGTCGCACCCTCAAAACTTGAATAGGGAAGCTGGGTCGAGCGGTACCTTGTTTGAGAGGTATTTGAGATGGCTTTACAGATCTGTAATTTATTTCGAAATATGACTACTAGTTTTCAAGATATTCGCCTCGGAAGTTACCATTGGGCGAAAAGAGAACGTATTTTTCATACAGGGTCTGTTCCTCATAATTAGTGCGGCTCCTACAACCTAAACAAAAGAAAATACAAAAAAAAAATTAATACAAAAGTTGTAGGGTTTTATGTCTATTATGTTTTGCACATGTCAAAATTGGGCTAATGACAGGTGCCAACTGTCATAATGACAGCACTTGAACTTTTTTAAATAAAACATCCTGTATATTTTTGGCTAGAATGATAGATTTTTTTCTTCTGATTCCAAATATACCATATATGTTGATATTTGGTTCAGCTGTTTGCGCTATTTCATTTTAAAATTGCATTGAGCAAGCCTCATCATTGATATTAGAAACCGGGAAAAGACCTAATTTAGGGTAAAGTAAATGTATTTTTAAACTTGAATAGCGTAAAAACAGCTGAACCAAAAATCAACATTTATGGTATATTTGAAATCAGAAGAAAAAAGTCTATCATCCTAGCTAAAAATATACAGGGTGTTCCATTTAAAAAAATGCAAGTGCAGTCATTATGACAGTTGGCACCTGCCATTTGCCCATTTTGACATGTACGAATGATAATAGAGATAAAACCCTACAACTTTTGTATTTAACTTTTTTTTTGTAATTTCTTTTGTTTAAGTTGTAGGCGCCGCACTAATTATAAGGAACAGACCCTGTACATTTCTACAAGAAAAAATTGAAATTCCTGAAACACGTCAATTTTGTTTATTTTGAACCTTTTGAACAACCTTCCAAACATGACCCACTTCTCATTTTTTCACGAAAAACACGTTCTCGTTTCGCCCCATGGCAACTTCCGAGGTGAATATCTTGAAAACTAGAAGTCAGATTTCGAAAAAAATTACAGATCTGTAAAGTCATCTCAAATACCTCTCAAACAAGGTACCACTCTACCCAGTTTCCCTATTCAACTTTTGAGGGTGCAACTCATCCCGGTAAAGGGGTGCAATCTAGGAAAATTTTGAAATAGCCAAAAAGTGTCCCCCTTGCAAACAAAATCGACGTGTTTCGGCATTTTTTTAATTTCCTGATAATTTTCGAGAAACTCCAGGTGGATCCTTTTTAATTTTCCACCCTGTATAAGAACGCATGGTGAGAACATACTTAAATCTTGTTTAAGCTCTACTATCCCTGACTTGGTTTTAACAACAATCTTTTTAGTCATGGTATGGTTTTATGCAAATTAATTTTACTTGACATTAGGGGGTCCCAAAAATTTATAGATTTATTTTGATCCTATCTTCGAAGAATTCGTTTTCGATTGCTATGCCCAGTTCTGACATCGCACATACATACATCAGTACACACTTCATTCAAGGCAACTCTGTTTGTTACAAGGTTTATTAAATGATTGCCGTCATAACGGAATGGGTCTGTAAATAAATTCTTCGGCTGTTTTTTTCAGTGCTCTCGCATTCGAAAAGATTCTGGATGATTTTTTTACATTAAGTAAGTCATGATGGAGCTCCGAAACGTTTGTGTTGTACATATATTCCAGTACTGTTTCTGATATTTTATTAAGGTAGGGCATGTTTAAGAAAAACTTGGTTTGAGTTTCTGGTCTCAAAGTTATACCGACCAATCTGTCATAGATTTTCATTTTTCGGTTCTCCTGCTCCAATGCCTTGTCTGCACTGAGAGAGCAGAATGCTCTGCCCTTTTTTATTGGGTGCCCATGTTCCTGAACATAGGTAGTTCCATGTTATGGGATCTTCATTCTTTAATATGGACAATTCAGCTAAATGATAAGATATCATAGAAGCGTAATTTCTAAGGTTTAATGCAAAGAAATATTTCAGATAAGTTTTTAGGGCCATATTTCTTAAATTCGAGTCCTTACTACGTACTGCGCAAACAAAAGAGAGTAAAGTGGCATTCACGCTTATATATTGAATTGCAAATGCAAATGTTGGTTTTGATTTCATGTTTGAATCATTAGAAGCTTCCATTTCTGGTACAAAATTTGGTTTCAATGAAAATACTTTGCAGCTTCTCTGTAGACATACGAATTATTTACATGTCCGTTGGAGTATTCCAAGCAGTGGCTAAATCCAAGACAAGATCCTCAAAATTATGCTTTAAATCTGGATTGGCTTTCAGCAATTCGTCAAAATATAATGAGAAAAACACCTCCAGTATTACTATGTGCGCTTCAATAGATCTGCGTAAAGGTTTTCCCTCTAGAATCATATTAGCTACCTTCTTACTTATACATCCCACTTTCTACCCACAATTCTGGTATTCCAAACTGGTTAATAAAAGTTCCAATTGCTCGTAGCATTGCCATTGTTATGTGTAAATCACCAGGAAGCGAAAAGTATGTCTTTTATTATTTTTTCTAGAAGTAAGAGCTGCATAGGTTCTAAAAGACCCAAGTCCACTGTAATAGCTTTACGCTTACCA